AGAAATAAAAAACAGAAACTACAGTGACCCTACTCGGTATTGAATTAGACTCAACTATGAATTGGAAATCTCATGTACAAAACTTAACTGGTAAATTGTCTTCGTTTATTTATGCGTTGTACAACCTCAAAAAGGTTACAGATTTTAAAACAGCTCTATCTACGTACTATGCCTTTGTTCACGCAAGGCTCTCATACGGAATAGTTTTATGGGGAAATTGCGTTGAGATTGACAACTTATTCTTACTTCAAAAGAAATGTATAAGAATACTTGCTAATTAAGACTCACAAACCTCTTGTAAGTCGTTCTTTATTAAACACAAAATTTTGACACTAACCTCAATTTATATTCTTGAGTGTAGTAAATTTGTAAAGAAATACAATCATCTTTTCTCACCTGTAAAGACTCTGAAGCGTAACAATAGAGGTTTACACATGTTGAAGCGTCCTTTCAGTACTCTAGGTATATACCGTTCTGGGCTCCACTGTATGGTAATTAAAATGCGATCCCAATAAATATAAAATCACAAGATACACATAAGGCCTTTGTAACCCATCTAAAGAGCTATCTACAGAGCAAAGCTGTTTATTCACTTAAATAATACTTTTTAGAAAATAGTGCTTAAAAACGAATTGCCAAGTTTATAATTTGTAAAGTATGTCAAATAGACAGACATAAGTGTATCACGAATGAGACCTAAGTGTAAAAGGAATTAATAATATTTATTGTTGATATTGCATAAAATTCTGTTTAGTTTTTTTTTTTGTTATTAATCGTGCTTAATTTTATTTAAATAATGTAGAATTTTCTTATTGAATTGCTTTTATTTTAATAATGTATATGTTTTCGTAAAGTAAGGATATAGTGCCCTCAGAATGTTGCAGTGCCCCCACGGGGTGTTACATGTCAAGTACCATAAGCATAAGAACACCTACCAGTGTCATTTTTTTGAGTCATAGTGAGTAATTTCTTCGTTTTTTTATTTTTTTTTTCCCCTTTTCTTTGTATGTCATAGATTTAATTGTGCACCGTGTGTTTGTTAAGGTTAATTTTATTGTGTTGTTGTTTGTGAGGACCTATAATTGGCCTTCAGTTTTTACTGTTAACGACTAATTTACTTTAAAGCTGTTGGTCTTCCTAAGATAAAAAAAAAAAAAAAAAAAAAATTATATAACCATGTAACTTGCAAATAAAGAATATGAATGAATGAAAGTGTAATTAGATTTTCCTCCTTGCGATCAGCAACTCTATTTATGCTCCAGTGCACACGCTCACATTTGCAGCTCACAAAGCTATTTTTTTATTAATTACGCAAGTTCCTATCCGGCTAAGTGTTAAGTGACACTCCACCGAGATTGTATCTTAAAATAGAGCGACGGTAATTTTATACTTCGTTTCGTACATGTAGGTGCGAGAGTGGCCTGCGACCTCGACACACTTGCTAAAATACAATAACACAAGTGGACGACCGCAGTGTCATTTTGTACTTCGTGTATACTTTCTTGTGTAGATTGACAAACAAACCACGACGGGTTAAACTCGTGCGTCCGGAGCAGGCTCGTTAAAAGTCCTGCCACTTGCCAGGACAGGGACTAGTTGGCATTAAAAAAGCGTCCCTTGCAGGCGGTCATTGGCAGCGGGTGGGTCGGGCCGCATTCCTGTGCGCCGGCGCAACGCACGCACTCGTACGCCCACACGCACCGACTCTACACTCTACTCTACGCTGGCCAACCCGACCGGCTTTGGGAGGCCTATGCTGACACTTGTGCGCCTGCCATACCCCGGTTTGGTAATTGATCTGGGTAGGCCGCATCCGAACAGGCAGCAATCGTCCATATATACGCGTATAGGAGTTGTTCATTAATAACATGGCCGACCGTGACACGGCTTCCGCCGGCGAGCGCCCACACCACCCACTCAAATACGAATTAAATTCGCACGCACTCGTTGTCAGTTCTTACTCAATGCCTATTGCCTGCCGTACTAGTACTACAAGCGGGCAACTATTCCATAAAGCGGTCCGCCCTCATTGTTTCAATATATGAACTTTGTTCTGTGAACGCATTTTTATTCGCTTTGTCTTTTGTCTTATAAATGCCCTTGTTGTGTGACCTCTACCACATGGGAATTTTATGTCAATGGAATTCTCTCCATTCGTTTCTATTCCGATGCCTTGATCGATTTATACAGTAAGATATTACTGATGGCCAAATACTTTTCGACGATTCTATAAAATAGAATAGTTGGTGAATTTAAATTATTTCAATTAGGTATCTATTATCTAATGCGATTTATTCTGTTACCATATGCAGAAACGACTTATTATAAAAATTGAATGATATGTTATAAATTTACAAAAAATATGTCCATTATGTTGTATTTTGGCGACAATTTTTCACACACCAGCGCACACCAAATTTTGTCTTGGTACTTTCTCTTTTCACATAGATATACATACGTAAGTACCTAAAAACGGTAATTTTCCATGAGCGCGTTGCCGAACCAAAGTGATGCGATGGGTTGACAATCACAGCTTGCGTAACGAGGTACGCGCCCACGCTGATTCGTACCTACGTAAAATCGATCCAAATAGTATCGTTGTTATTATCAGATCGGTCGGAATGGTGTTGTGTGCGGGGCCGACCGCGTGGGCAGAGCCCCCTCAATGGACGCGTCGGATGCCCGCGCCCACGCGTTGCCGTCTCTACCCACTCTGCCTACTATTGCCTACCACACGACAATACAGTATAGGTACTGGCTACTGTAAATAATTATCTTGATGACCATTCACCTGACACTGATCTAATTGGGTGTTCATTCGAACGAGTGCCGACTATTTTCCATTGAAAACCCACGAGCCTTAATGAAAGCCGTTTTGATGTAAATAGATAGTTAACAAAAGCATTGGTGTATCTGGATGGGCGCGTATTAATTTCATTGCGACATAACATCCTGCGTTGCTGGTAACGCTAATGTGAATGATTCCACAGCACGAGTGCATTATTATCTTTGATTTCGACGTGATTGACCGATGAGGAACCAGCGCATCGCCATCGTTCGAACCGAGTTAGATCACGAATGTTGTTATATTTTAGTCTCAAGTGAAACAATCGTTATGCATTTATTTACATCGCATCGTCATAACACCTTTGTACGACTTCTGAGTCATTATACTATGTATTTTACACGTGTTGCGGATTATACCTTTTGAGCCTATTCTATAGCGGAGCGAGAATGAGATTAACTTGCCACATGAAAAAAATATGAATTAACCAGTTATACAGTCAACAGCATACACAGCTTTAGACGGTTATTCCCGTCTGATCCCCTATATTGATCCACTGCCAATTTCAAATCCCATCTGATCCCCTCTATATTGTGCAACTCCCTTCGGATTGTATTTGTAATTCATAAATCATTGTATTTGTAGGGTAAGTGCATTTAAGAGCAAGAGAAAGTTTTGAAATCAAATAATTATATTTTCAGCAATTGCTCAAAAAATAATTTGATCACAATTGTGATCAAATGTTATAATTTTCACATACAATCAAATTGTTTTGTGACAGTCATTAATATTGACATATTGTAAATCTCATGTAACAAAATGAGTGTTAAGTAATATTTAAAATCTAAGATTAATGTTGTAATTATCACAGACATAATAAATTAAATAAAATACAGTATGACCCTCAAATACATTTTCTTGTTGACTGTACCACAATACCTACCAAAAATAAACTTTTAAGTACCAAGGTATCAGGTAGGAATAAAATATTAATATTTATTCTTGATATCCGACATCCGACGGGAATAGACAATAATAGACAATAATATAAAATAAAACGGATACTCCAGGAGATCGGTTTTAGGGGATCGGATGGAATAACCCTTTTAGACTTAGACAGCTTTTAACATAGGTGACAGAGAGTTAAAATTATAAGTGTTATATAAGGCTGAGCATGCTTATGTGTTGACTGTACTTTGCTGCTATATTGCACACGTGTCAAGCTGTACGTATATATTGCAATGTTTTTTTTTAACTGCAAAGGCGTATGGGTCGCTTTTAAAACGGTGAACTGAATAGCCGTGAGACGATCGAGAGGGCGAATTTGGAAAAGTGCCGCGTGGGTGGAAAAGCGTTGGCGTCGGGAGCCAGGCTGCGGGTCTCCGCCGCGCGAGGGGCGCGTAAGGCGCTGCGTGGGCGGCCATTGAGTCGCGGGGGCAGGTGAATGGTAACCCTCGCCCGCCCCCATTCACGGTCGCATCGATCCGTCACCTCTGCACCCCACCGCGTCGCACCCGCGCCCTGCGCCCGCCGGCCAGCACTAGCGCCGCCTCCAGCCAACCCGCTGTCACATGATTGATACTAAACGCATTAGCTGTGTTTAGTGGGCGGCCTTCCTTATTGGATTATCTTGTTCATTAGGTTTCAGCAGTCGTTGAGCGGTGATATTTTGATCGTAAAGCAGTTTCGATTAATAAAGAACGACGATGACTAAGTTATTGATAAACAATCAATTTGGCCACTAGTCTACCACGGTCTTTTGTACACACATTTATGTCTTCTATTTTATTGTCCTTTATAGTCCTACTACGCGAAAACCTAACAACCAGGAAGAACCCGTTTTAAGTCCTTAGTTAGACATAGCCAATACGAGCTAAATCGCAATATTCCACTCGCCAGAGTCCACAAATATGATTTTTATGACGCATATAAAATTTAGTCATAATGTAAGTAATAATATCGACAACGCAACCACTTAAAATTGGAATTTTCATTGCAAATGATACTTGTACATTAAGTACTATAAACGACTAAATTATGTGTTATGTATGTAAATATGTACATCTTATATACTTGGTAAATCGACCTCTAGCTGAAAATGGATCGCCAAGGCTATACAAGCCTAGTAAGTAATGCTATTTAAATTAAATGTCTACCGCAAAACAACATTGTTTCAGTTTACAGTAGGTATTAATGTGCTATTTTTTATTTCCAGGTCTCTACGCATCTCGGGGTCGGGCTGTGAGGAGGCGCTGTCATCCGGCTCGTCTTCGGAGTGCGAGGAAGCGCACACGCACGTCACTCAGGAGTTCCCCATCGAGATCCTACCCAATCTGTACCTGGGCAATTCTTCCAACAGTGAGGACTGTGATGCACTAGCCAGGCACAACATTAAGGTAATTCAATTTGATTTACGTAGTTAATAATAACTAAAGTAAACACTGGATTGATTACCTACGTAAAAATATTATTCGAAGTTAAACTCTATATCATGATTCATGATATATCTCTCTATATCATGATATTCATGATATAGAGTTCAACTTCGAATAATATTATAAAATATATACATATATATCATACTTATCATGCAGCAACTTTATTCTGAATCTTTTTTGCAACTACTATTTTTAACGTTCACAATATTCATTTAATAATAATAATAATAATAATTCATTTATTTATTCAGATAAGTCACATCCAATATTACAAAAAAGACTAAAAAGATTAAAATTAAAGAAATTCACACAATAAATAAATCAAAATCAAAATATCACAAAATAAATCAAAATAAAATAAAACATGTCAGAATATTTACAAATCGGCAAAAGTCAATTAAAATTAAATTAAATTAAAAGTAATTAAATCAAATCAAATCATTTCATCATTCATTCATTCAATCATTTAGAGACCTTCGATGGATGATCGGCATCAAATATTTAATTTTGTTGGAAATGAAAAATGTTTCTCGGATCCAAGTAGCGTATATTTCTTTTAAACAACGCTTCGGGCTCTTCACAGACCATGATATGACCATGACCGTCACCCGTGACCAAAACAAATATATGAGATTTATATCCAAAAAAATATTCGTTTCCTATGTGTAGTAATCGCGAAAACATAAGAACTCAGTATGTTTAATTTTGTTGTTTAACTCAGGATAAATAGTAGAAATTAGAATTCCGTGAAGAAGCGAGTATTGAATGAAAACCATACAAGTAATTTTAAACAGTAGCTACAATAATTTAATGCTATTACGACGCGTAAATCTAAAAAGCGACATCACATGAAATTTAGCTATAGAACATAATCGAGACAAAAATCTTTACAAGGCCGCGCGGGCCGGGGTAGCGCTCACCCTCAAGTTTCGTCATCCTTTGCCGAACTCCCCATCATTACGTGGCATTACAATACGCTTAAGAATTACATCTCTATTGCAGCACTTGTAAACAATAGATTTACATAATTTTAATTATTTACAGAAAAAACTTGTGGAGCATTAAAATCGAAACGGAATAAATTGTCGTTGTTTTTTTATGTGCGAACATTATGGCTTTTTATTCAGCTCAGGTGTTAGAATAATTATTATGAGTTTGTACCCGGTTTGGTTATTTCCAATTTATCTCTTATTTTATTATTTATAAAGTTTATATCTGCATATAAAGTGTTAATAAAAGGTTTATCTAAGGTGTGCAGATATACTATTCTGATAATTTGCGTGTAAATTATAATTTTGTAGCTGTAATAGAACCGTACATTCAGATCTTGAATAGTAATGTGTAACATGTGCCATCAAAACTGACAAATTTAAATGCAATCTCAAAGTTTCCATTTCCAATAGTCTTTGAGGACATTGCACCTAATAACGTAGCTTTCAAGGAAAAAACGCTGTCAATTCCGTTCATTCATTAGGGCACTGTGATGAAACAGACAGATCGATGATAATATTAGAACACCCTTTTTGCATTGAGGTTAATATACAAAAGTGTTAAATGAATTAATTTCCTGTACGAAATGAAATAAAAATTTATTCACTTAAAATATGGTGAACAAAAGATGGAACACAGTAGAGAAATAGAGTTTTTACCACATTTGGCATGCAAAATTATACTTATAGTGATAGAATTAATTGATTAAATTACAAATAATGTCAGTAGACATGCACAAAACAGTTAAAGTTCTAATTTTATTTCAATACATATATATAATACATTACAAATCTTTCTTTTTTTTACAAATTTTATAAATCTGTAGCTAATTTTAGTGATGTAGCTATAGTTATTAATTATATATGTTACAAGTAGTTGTAATCTATTGTCATGCAGAAGTAAAAATAAAAAAAAATAATATAATAAATTCATGTCATTGTAGGTCAAATCAATTATACTTAAAGTCAAATTTGAAGACCTTTATATGAAAAGAAGTCTGTAATAGAGCAGAAATTTTTATCTCTCAGCCATGACATCAGCTTACGTTTTGTACTTATGTAAAGACTGCACTGTGTTTTGAGGTTAAATAAAAGTGTGACTATAAATTCCAGTACGTTTTGAACGTGACTCCGGACCTGCCAAACACGTTCGAGGCGGACGGCTGCGGCATCAACTATCTAAAAATTCCCATCGCTGACCACTGGAGCCAGAACCTCGCCGTGCATTTTCCACAGGCCATACGATTTATCGGTACGAACAACCATTATCGCGAAAAAGCATACCTATTTGTATTTAATTGGAGTCCATATGAACACGTATCAATCAATCAACATTACTTAATGAATATTGCAGAAGAGGCGATGTCAGCGCGGTGCGGCGTGCTGGTGCACTGCGTCGCAGGCGTGTCGCGCAGCGTTACGGTGACGCTGGCGTACCTCATGCAGCGCCACCGGCTGTGCCTGCGCGACGCCTTCGAGCTCGTCCGCAGCCGCAAGACCGACATCGCGCCCAACTTCCACTTCATGCGCCAGTTGCACTCCTTCGAGCGCGACCTCGGCCTCCACGAGCACAGCGCCAGCCTGAGTAAGGTCTGCTATGTTCTACCCTACCGCCGCACGCCACACCACACACCACGCAGCACACACCCCACGCCCCACCACACCCGGTTTAGCCCGAATTCGGGAGCCAGTGTCGACACGAATTAGCGAGAGCCGCACCGCACAGAAGGAGCGCAGTGCGGCGAAGGTACTCACCCGTAGCTGTTTCGCGGCAGGTGCTGGAGGAGCTAGGCGTTGAGCCGGTGCTGCCGGACTCGGGCGTGAGCAGCGCGCTGGGCTCGGGCGTGGCGCGGCCCACGCCGCTGCGCGCGCCCCCCTGCGGCTGCGCGCCGCCGCTGGGCGTGTCGCCCGACTCGGGCATCGAGTTCGACCGCTGGAGCGCCGCGCGCGACACGCCGCAATGACAGTTCTTCACGCCGCCGCTCGACTCCGCGCCGCAGCCCGAGTGAGCGCCCGCTCCCCCGCTCCCCCCTCGCCCGCTCGACCGGCAGGTGTTCGCCTCCAGGCGGCACCTCGTAGTGTTAGCTAGACGGACTAGGACGTAGGCCCGCTTTCGGGAAACGACGCTGCCGATGCGATAGTACAAAGAATCGTGATTATATTTATACCGAGCTGTTTTAACGGGGGAGAGACAGCGTTCAGAGTACAAGCCGCGGTTACGGTTTATAGTTAGTTATTTTAGGTAGGACGGTAGCGGTGCGGGCCCGGTTAGGCTAGAGCGTCCCGCGAGCGAGCTAAGGGAAGCGATAAGTATTACACTTTTGTATTTACCCAGTACTTTGTTTGATAGCACGTTACAAAAGTATAGTCGTTCGAGCACGCTACAAACTCTTTTTCACTCTTATAAATTACATTACGTCGTAGATAACTTAGACGAGCACTTAAAATATTACAGAAAAACTAATCTGTTTAGTGCCACAAATCGTATGTAATCTTAAGTGAAAATGGATATAGTAATAACTATGTATGAAACGTACTTTACACTTATGGTTTAAGTCAATTTTATAAGTTTGATATCATTAAATATATATTTAGGATATGAGTACACAATTGAAATGCATTCCCGAATCTATCTTCCACTACGCTGTGCATTTTGTGTCCATTCGAATTTATTTTGAAGATTTTTGAAAATTGTATATTTTTATTGTTTAACTTAGGTAGATTGTGGTCTTCGTCGGAATAATCTCAACGGCAAGGATATAAGTTAGGTACCTTCTGGTAGTGCCACCAAGTGTGGAGCTGCCAGTTGTAGCTCGAACCACCACTTGACTCAACTCCTAAATGTTTGTTTGTTTAATCCACCAATATAACAATGTAATTGTGTTACGTATACTATTCTATGGGGTAGTTTGACATAGAACTATTTGTTACAAACAGTGAATAAATGAATAAATAATACATAGAAAGTTATGACTAGAAACAGGGCTTCTAATGACTCTTCCATTGTTGTTGATATATGTATATGTACGTTTATCGTAGTGTATGTTAGTGGGAGTGAGAATGTGTGAATGTGATATATCGATAAGAAAATTTATTATAAAATATAGTTATTTACATTTTGTAACGACACTGACCATTGAGACACAGTTCGTTTGAACGTTGTTTCTTGTAAAGCTAATGTGACCGACAGTCGCTCATATTTTATTTCTAAATGTTATGATATTGTAACTAAGAGTATATTCTTTAGTCTAATATAGAGAAAAAATTATAACAGTTTATTTTTCTATCAATCTTCGGCAATATTTATGGTGGACTCGAATGTGCTCATATAGGTGGTGAACATTGAACAACTAATTATTGTAAAATGGTTAACGAGTCTTGCTAGTAAATGAGTATTTTTATATGGATTATATAACAATAAAAGTTATATATAGATAGTTACATTAACTGAAAGAATATGGAGAATCTTTTTATAAGTTTACGTGATATACATATATAAATTTTACGTTGAGCTCTTTACAATTTCCATAGGCATTTATTGTTTGTCTGATGTTGAGTCATATGTTTTCATCCACTTGAAATTGTAGTGTAAATAAGTGGCAAGCTTTACTGTTAAGAGAAGTATGTTAATTATGAGAATGTAGTAAATTGTTACAAATTGTAAATTTGTTGTAGAATTAAGGTTTATATTGAGATTCAGCTTCCTAAACATTTGATGCCAACTTATTTCGTACGAAATGTGCAAACAAACGTTGAAATCTCGTACGCATATTAAAATTGATGTATTTGTGATTGTTAATTTGGTCAGATGTTATGCTGACACTGTGTCTTGTAGATATTATTACCTACTGCACTGATTTGTTGAACAGTTAAGAAAGAAAAATATACAGTGTTTTACTTTGAATATGTTTTGCCTTAATAAGTACATAATTTGCACGTTATATTCGAAATTTTATATTCATAGATTTTAATATTAATAATTAATTATAATTGTAGTGCACAAAGTCATGTAAAACCTCTAGCATGTGCCGTAGTTGCCATGCTGCAGGTTAAGTGAAATCACAACATCTAGTGTTTGTACATAATTATATACATATTAATAACAGTTCTGTTTAAACTGTAACATAAATTACATGTTATCTGATGTTGATAATGTTTTAGAAGTCTTTTTAGTGCTTTCCTAAAGGTACCTAAAAGCCACATGGCACACGTAATATTAACCTCAAAACAAATATAAACATTGTTAATTGGATATTGTATTTCCTTTATATGCCTCCATATGGTTGTTTTTGTTGTGTTTACGTTATTATCAGCGGGAGATTTCTTAACCCCTTCATGGACAGTAACGACGTTAACGTAAAATGAAATATCAGAATATAGTATGGAGTACCTCGTTTCGCTGCATGAATCTCGAAAACCAACTTCGGGCTTTACAGTGCGATTTCTGTGTAGACACCGCCTACTGCTTCTCCATAGAAAAGTATCGACAAAATTCGACGATTTCCATTGAACATTTTATATTGAATCAATCACTATGGCAAGAAAATTAGTGACATTTTTGTGTGCAGTGCTATTTAAGCATTATCCACGAATGGGTTAATTAATCCAGCTTTATTCTGGATCTACGTTTTTGCTATACTATAATCAATTAAATGACGTTTTTTACCAGTCTGATAAAATTTGCAAAGCTATGACTCAATTTGTATGGAATTGAAGCGAAATTTTTTGTGGATAACTGTAACTATAAACTAGGTACGAGTCGGTTGCTGCTTGAATCCAGAGACTGTACGAGAATTGCGTTACAAAATTGACAGTGATTTATACAAAAAATTCACTTCCATTTCTTTCCGCAACGCTGTAAATTGATCCTTAGTTTCAATTTCTATTGAGGCGGAACGGTATGGAAGCGAATTTTTTACATATCATAGAGTAATAACTTTCTGGTCAATTCAAAAAGCTTATTCCAATGGCACCATTCCTCAACGATTCAATTCCTGATTGTACTAAAAAAGTTGTGATTTAGTGGAATCTAGTCCCAAAAAACTAGATTTAGGTTTTACCATAGATTTAGTATATACCTACTTTACCGTTTTGAAGTTATTACTATACATGTATTATTGTCTACGCTGAATTATGCTTATTGCCAGCGACACCATTTTTGAATCTTGGAACCCACAGCTCCTAGCTTAGATCTGCTTGCTCCCAGAAAATGTCTGAAATTGCCTATTCTAGTAGCAAAATTTTAGAATTAGTTGCCAGAAATCGGACAGTTCGAAAGAAATCGGATGTTCATTCATTCCATTTATAAGTACATTTAGGACGAGTAGAAAAATCGCACACATGATGAAAAATGGGTATGTAAGGAGAACCACTGTTCCAAAGGTTTTTTTGTGAGATCACGCACGACAGTAAAACACTTATAACTTTTGAATGGCGTACCGACTAATCTAGTTTTTTGCGACTAGAACAGACTATTCTGAAGGGCGACTTTTCACCTGACTTCTTCCTGTCCTTATCCGACGTTAGGAGGGCTCGACACAACATGTATTTCTCTCCCATTCTCCCCTGTCAGCTGCCATTTCCATACTCGCACCTTTCTTATCCATGTCATATTTCACACAATCAATCCATCTTTTCTTTGGCCTTTCTCTCTCCTTACGTATATACGTTAACTGCCTCTGTGGTCGAACGGTTACCATGCCGGACTGCCACGCAGAGGTCCCAGGTTCGATTCCCGGGTCGGGAGAAATATTTGTATGGCCTACATTTATTTCTCGTAAGTTTGGGTGTAATTTGTGGTTGTCTATGTGTGTGTGTCCATGGCACCCGCGACACAGGGTTTCCCTAGTGCGGGGCTATGTTGAGTGTGTGCGTTATTATTATTATTATTATATCCCTCCACATTCATACCTAACACGCTTCCCGTCACATGACATTCTTCCCTCCGCATAACTTGTCTATACCACGCTAACCTATTACTCCTCATCTTTTCAAACGTCCTCTGATTCCTTATCCTTTCTCGTAAATCCACATATCCACCTCAACATTCGCATTTCCGCCGCATGCACAGTTTGTTCATCCTCCTTTTTGATCTCCCAACATTCTGATCCATACAGTACGACAGATCTAATTACGGTATTGTATATTTTCCCCTTTAGATTAAGAGGCATTCGCCGACCGCAAATAGTGCCTGTGACCTGTCGCCATTTCATCCATCCTGCACTTCCCGGACTATTTCAACGAACAGAGGTAAAAATCGGAGCGGTATGGTAGGAATACACCATCTAAGGTAATATTGGTAAAACCGGAGGCACCGCCGAAGTCGAGGAAAAGCTGTTCTGTTTTCGACCGGCTAATCCTCAACCCGACACTCCAGTCTTACTTGCTGTTTTGCCTGTCTGCTCTGGATGTCAAGTGCATCCTCCCCGACGAGAACAATGTCATCAGTGAACAGCATGTACCAGGAGGAGGCCTCCTGTTTGTCCGATATTAGAGCATCAGGAGAAAGAAAATGGGGCTTAAAACCTATCCTCGCCCACATCCACGTTGAACTTGGCGGTAACGCCGGCTTCATACCGGGCGTACTTACAAGCTCTACTGTACATTCTTCTCTTTGAATGTCCACCAAAGAACCTCACGGGGTGCTCTATCGTACGCCTTCTCAGGTCAACGAACACCATGTGCAAGGTGTATATTTTTCGCACAAATGGCGAAGTGCGAATATGGCATCCGTTGTCCCAGTGCTAGACATAAATTCGAATTGGTTCTGGGTTATTTCATTCTCTCCTCTTATTCGTCACGCACTCACTTTTTCCCAAACTATACTATGCGACGTGAGCTTTATTCCCCGGTAGTTGTAACAGTCTCGTAAATCACCCGTTTTTAAAAACTGACACCAGCAAACTGTTGAACCATTCATCCAATGTATTAACGAATAAGGTCGGCCACTTCCATCCGCTTACCTGACTTATCAATAAAAAATTGGATATATATATATATATATATGTATATATATAGTGTCGCTTATATGAACGACAAACAATGTCTGAAATTTGATCCTAGTCGCAAAAAATCTACTTGGTCGCTGACACTCAACCGTGGTGCGTCCATCATTAGCTACACGGATAAAAAAATGAAAGTAAGTATTACTTGTTACTTTATTTATTACTTTTTCAAGTAGAAATACAATAATTACTGTTAATAACCATACAATTAATTTGTGTAGGTAATGGATGTAACTATCCCAATTACAATACGTTGAAACATCATAAATTGGAGTTGCACTGCAAATACATAGTATAGTATTTGTATTACTTTGACAAGTGCTAACAATGGCATAAAATAAAAAAACAACTCCGTCTTACAAATAAATCTCAATCATTTTCTAATTGACTATCGTTGGGTGAATACTGAGAATATTCTAGAATAATTCTCAGGCACTAGCTTAAACTAAGTCTACCTCCGAATAGGCCTATCGTTTCTTTCATGTGTAAACTCTTGATATAATCTTTAAATAAACATTTACATATACAAACAGGTGTACAAAAACCTTAACATAATTATAAGGATTTTCTCTACCTACATTATATACACTACGTTGGTGCTTGCGCGGTACGCTGAAACATGCATTATAACAAAAAATAGCAACCGATTAGCCCGAGTCAAACTAACCTTTTGCCAGATTACTATAGCTACTCCATTTATTATAAGTTGCCAACAAACTAATCACTGCGACTTTCCAATAGTGTAGCTGCCATCGCCATTACAACGATCTTTCCCCTCGAACATATACAAATTTTGGCACAAATACGTGCTATAATATATTATTACTATTTACTTGAATAATTACAACAAAGGCTTCACAATGACTTATTGCTTTAAGTTGAAATCAATATGAGTAGATACATTCTGAACAATAAGGTAATCTCGATATAAATATGCAACATTGTGTTACACACATAGAATTCGAATAGTCGAGAAGATAGGAATGCTTCTTAATAGAATTAAGAATAAAGGATATATTCTTTGGAATGTAACGAAGCTTAAAAGTAGAAGGTGATTGATATATGATATTTAGCGAGGCCTATTAACATAGGCGATTTCAATCGTGGTGCCAAACGATGAAAGGTACGGTAAAATTATTAGAATAGTGATCGAACATGCGTTTGTGTACATACTTAAAAATAAGGTGTAGTGCGATGAAAATCGTCTAATGTAAATAGCGGCATACGAATAGACGCCATGGATATGTGATGATAATGATACTAAGGTACATTCAAAGGCGCCAACTTACCAACGTTGACTGTATCATTGGTCCTTCTCAGAGTTTATATCTAGTATTGTAAATAACATAAAACATTACATATATAGAATACGCTATTTTAATGGCACATATTTAATTTAGTCAATTTTGTTCAATCTTTTCTCTGTGCCATTTTTCTGTCAATACATATAAAATACGTCTTTATCGTCAGTATAAGAAAACATACATATTCAATAGCTTAAGGGACGTCAATAATAAATCTGCACTAGCTGCTAAGGCGACTTATAAATCTGAATTAAAATACGCTAAGTAAAAATATATTCGTTTGTAACGGTTACTTATATACTAGGATTGACATGTAAATTGGTGCTATGTTCAAATGAAGGCAAATACGTGGACCACGATCACGTTACAAGCTCTCAAGATTCACCACTTATTACACTTAAAAAAGAATGCATTCATTATGTCAGAATTCTAAAATATGAATCCAGATACATTTCATACAACAAACATTTTGTATAATCTCTTATGGAATTAGTGTGTAAAAATATTAAATAATCGTAAATATTTGCGAACTGGATAAGTTACTTGTAGATAGATAATTCTAATACTGAAATATAAAATGTAACTTTCTGTTACTGATACGTCACTTCTAGCGATTTTATCATGTAATCCAAAGTGTAAATTTCATACAATTACGTCTCTAATGCACTGCGTCGATGTCTCTTTGGGCTCTTGAAATTTTGACCTGCGAATAAACATGTCGTTTTTATTTTACGTGAGACATCTTTTACGCTGTCTAGCAACAAACAAAAAGTAATAAGGGCCTTATAACGAGATATTAGAGCGTAAGCAGTTACAATATCGCGATGGTAAAAGTGTCGTAACAATATCATTTATTCAACTCATTTAAGATGTGTGTAACGAATACATTCGAATTGTTACCTTGTCCTTAGGTGTTGAGGCTTCGCCCGATTCGAGAGCGAACATCTTCATTTTCTCCTTGAATGAGAGCTGTTCAGGCACAGCGGGCGGCGCTGCACGCGCCTCTTGAGCTTCTTTCTCGGCCAAACGCCGGGCACGCGGGTCTCTGTATTACAACATTACACATTATTTCATGTTGTCCTCGCGATTTATTACAATTAGCTGTATGTTACGTTTTTTCTTAATAAAGTGTACGTATATATTACCTATAGACTTCCTGTGCGCCGATGACGCCAGGCGTGTGCGCGAGCGCGGCGGCTGCTGCCGATGTCGGCGTCGTCGGTGACGCAGGGCCCGCCAGCATGGTTTCAGCTTCCTCGATAAATCGCTGTAAAGAATAAAATTCTCAAGGTCGTAAACTAGTAAGTAAATAATTATATGAATTCCTAAATAACGTGACCATAGATTTAATTTTACTTACTGTGTTATATATTGTTTCTATATTTTAAAGTGAAGTTTTAAATGTATTTTGTATTGACCAAATAACTGTCACACTTATTGTTTACACTACAATAGTCCAAAAGCAAATATTACTAACATCGGGATCGTGTCTGGTAGGCGGCGGAGCCTGCGGCGGCGGTGGTGGATCGTGAAGCGGTGGCGGTGACGACGTCGGCGGCATGGGCGCAGCAACTGATGCAGCAGGCGCCGTCGACGCTCGTTCGTGGAACGACACGCGTTTGTCGCGACCTGTGCTCGGAGGAGAGCTGAAAATAAATAGTACAGTATAGAGATCGTCCTATCCTTTTTTCCCCCTTTTTTTAAGTCCCCCGGGAAAGAAAGCAGGATTCACACTTTAGAACTGCCAACCTTGACATGTTCAATAATTTTAATGAATTTTCAGTAATTTATAATAATTTAATTTTTTTATTTAATCATTAATGGAAATAACGTTACCAAAGATAGATTCGTGGTACTTAGTTACAGCAGTGGAAGCTAACTGATCTTATAACATTTCGTTCATCAAATGTAACAGAACTAAAGGATATACGTGTTACACAGTAATGACTTACTGTGGCTGCGGCGCATGATCATTGGTCGTGGCATGCGCGGGCTGGTGACTGGTCGGCGGTGTGGCAAGTGAGAGGTGGTGCGTCGAGGCTTGCGGCGAGAGCGCACGCGCGTGTGACGCCATCACAGCGAATGACGAGCCGCGTTCAGGCGGCGGCGGTGGGCCCGCACCCGCGCCCATGCCGATGCCCGCTACGCCCGACGACAACTCAAGCATACGCTGTTCCTCTGACGCCTGAAGGAAGCATTTCAACGTTTTGGGATTATAACAACAATCATAAGCTCTAGCATCTCAGTTCTTTTGTACCGCAGGTTGGAATCATAATTTTAAGATCACGGCAGCATTGTTATCGTACATAGGAAAAATAATGTTACCCACTTTAAGAATAACATTACCATGTATTTGTTTTCAAGTGTAATTTGTTAATTACTTAGAGTTACCAATCAAAGTCCGAAATTATATTTTCCAGAAATAACGTTTATTCGAATTTTCATAACCTCGAAAGTAATTTATAGATAGGAAAATGTTTTTTCTTTTAAACGTAACTTAACCTAATCTAACCGAACATACTCGTGTCTTTGCGATAAACATCCAACGTATCCTGAAAGAACAACGGTTTCGTTATAATTCGGTTTTCGGGGTAATGAAAATTGGAACAAACGTTGTGTCGGACAAAATAAATTCGAGTTTGTGATTTTTATTTTATTTTATTTATATATTTGAAGCAAAAAAACAAATTTCAAATATTTAAAATAAAATAAGCGTCCTTACAGGGTCCTGTGGATATCCGTTAGTGGTTTCAGGACGCGTGTTGGTTTTGAGTATGGACTTGGGCGGCGGCGGCGGTTGTGGCTGCGTCTGCTGGGCACGGGGTTCGCTCTCCACCGGTTCGGGAGATAGCCGCTCTTCCTCCGCGCCTGTCTCCGCGTTCGTAACGTCCTCCTTTACGAGAAACATACAAATGACAGTAAAAGCAAAGAGAACAAACCATTTGACAGGAATAACAATGTTGCCAGACAAGTATAAATCTGATTACGTATATTTTTAATAATGTTTCACAACAAGCATTTCAGAAAAATTGTCTACACTGGACTCACATAACCTATATAAGTGATAGGAGCTTAAGTTTTTGAACATTTACTTTGACTGAAGAACTTTAAGCAACGTTATAAAAATCATGATTATTACATATGTATAGTTCTATTCACATTGAACTTCCGAAGTGGTACACATATGTATTAGCTAAAGAAATTGATACACATTCATACTGCTACATATCTCCAATTTGGTAAGCAAAGACTACAGATTTTCACTGCTTCCATATTTTTTCGCCAAATCTACTCTTAACAAATTACTAAACAATAAAGTACCTCGTGCTGTGTGGCGCGCCGCTCGAAGTCCCTCTCGAGCTGCAGCGCTCGCAGCTGCTGATTCTGTACCGGTGTGCGCGACGACCCTATCGCCAACAGTTGGGCGATCGCCGCGTCCCTGCAATCAAATAAAATTAGTGCTGGCCGCCGTCAGAGAGAGTACAGTAGGGTGTTGCAAAGAGTTTTGAAACCTTCCTCGACGTGCAGTTACCACGATGTTGTTTTTCCAAACTTAGTTAACAACAATAAATGCCTATCTTGGTAATAATCACAGTTATCAAGATTCCCCAAGGTACATACTTGGTACTTGGTGCAATGGGCGGGTATCCGCAACTCGACGACAAAGCGCCTATTTTGCGAAAAAGTACATACTTATTTAAAGTATATAGAAAACTGCAAACCTAATTTGACTGTGATTTCGCCAGTAAGATTTGTCGTTCCACAAAGAACAATGGCGGACTCCCATATATACTTTTGTTGACATAATTTTTATGTCTGTTTATGAAAAATATGTGAAAATATAGAGTATATATTCCTGAACAAATTTGGTTTTTGGTTTACTATTCTGAGTAGTCGGGAATTACAGGTATTCCGGTTTAAAGTTTTGGAGGTTATATTTTACATAATTGACTACAGAAGCCTTAAACAGGATTAATAGAAGCTGAAAGATGCCGTGGATTTGTGACTTGATTAAGCTATTAGAAAGGAAATTATTTTATATAACGGTCAAAAAGCATGAAGTTAAGCCATAACAAAAGGAAACTGAGTCAATATATACTGGCAACTCGGACACAAATTATTTTTTTGTGAAACGTGCCATCTATCCCTGATAAGTATCGGGAGCTTTATGTCAGTTTTAGCACTTTCGAGATGGAATTATCTGGTTTATTTTTTGTAATAAAGTAATGTTTTATTGCAAATCGGTCGAATCAGTACATTTTATTACATATAATTTTGCAGCTGATCTTTGCTAATAATAATTACGAAACGAATTAATAATCAATGTTTCATCGCGTCATCCCCATTTTGTATTGTGAGTATGTAATTCAACGCGAAAATTTAGAAGCGTATCTAATAAGTTTTAGCTGGACATATACTAACTAATTTTAATAACTTTATTTTATTTTATTTTTTCAGTATCAGTAGTTTGTTATAAAACCTATTTTATTTTTAGTTCAGTAGTTTGTTATAATTATTAATCCAAAGATCGAACACAAAGAAAAACTCATTCGATCCAGCTGGACTTGACCCAGCGCGTTCACCATACCGTGAAGCCGTGCCGTTTTTATTTATTTTTATCAATTAATCATTGAACAAATGAACAAACGTTCGTATGTATTTTTTTTTTTTTTTATTTATTTATTAGGCACACCAACAGTTACAACAATATTTCATTTATTAGACAACATCGAGAAAAAGCTTAATCTAATTGCTTAACCAATTACAGGTGAGCACCACATGCGAAAAAATTAAATGTGTAACATATGCTCAATATAAAATATAAAAAATAAAAAATATAAAAAACAATGAATACCAAGACATATTACTATTTTTTAAGTTTGTTACCTAAATAACAAAAAATATTATTTCTATCTATTATTAAGAAAGTGTACAATTGAGTTTTTTAACCCTGGGAGTGAATCATAGAAAATATCCACATGTTTGGAGCAGTCATTATACAAACCAGACATTCGAGCCACGGGGGAGTTCGAACCCAGTACTGTTCTACGACGTGGCGGGTGAAAAGGCTTAATGCGAAATCTGGGACGTTTAGGGGGAATTCTAAAATTTAAATTACCAAGTAGTTGTGGGCAGTCAACCATATTGTGAATGAGCTTATAAAGAAAAACTATATCTAATAATTCTCTGCGCTTTGAAAGAGGAGTAATTTTAAAATGTTTAAGTCTTTTGTCGTATGATTTAATTTTTTTTGACAGCCCAGCAGAGAAAGACAAATGCCATAAAAAGCGCTTTTGAACACGTTCTAGGTGCAATGAATTAACAGCATAATGGGGTCGCCATACCACACTGCAATATTCAAGTACACTCCTAACTAAACTGTTGTATAAAAGTATTTTCACCTTAGCACTGCGAAAGATTTTTCCGTTTCTCAAGACAAAACCTAGCATCCTGGACGCTTTGTTAATAGTTGACTCAATATGCGGTTTAAAAGTTAGTTTTTTGTCAAATATGACGCCCAGGTCCTTTACACAGTCCATCTCTGCAAGAACGGTGCCCTCTAAAGTATACACTGCTGGAAACACATGTATTCTACGAGTAAATTTAATAAATGAACATTTACCAGTGTTCAGAAACATGCCATTAGATTTGCACCATATGCTAAGATTGTTAAGGTCATTTTGTAATAATTTACAATCCGTCATTGAATTGATTACCTTAACCAATTTAAGATCATCGGCATACAAAAATGGTGTTGAAAATTTAAAAACTCCTGGCAAATCGTTTATAAATACATTAAAGAGAATAGGACCAAGATGAGAGCCTTGAGGGACTCCAGACGTAATGTTATATATTGCAGAAGCAAATCCATTTACTACCACGTAGAAATATCTATTTCTCAGGTAAGATGCAGCCACTGCAACATGGTGCCACCAAAACCGTACATAGTCAACTTCTCTACAAGAACACTATGTGAAACCTTATCGAAAGCCTTGCTGAAGTCAGTGTAAATGACATCAACTTGCGCACTCGAGTCAACCTTGCCAATAATTACCTCTACAAAGGTCGCCAAGTTAGTAGAAGTGGATCGGCCCTTAGTGAAACCATGTTGGTGATCGGACAAGTATTTTTTAAAATAATTTTGAATATATGGACAAACAAGGGCTTCCAAGAGCTTAGCAAACGACGACAGAATTGAGATTGGTCTATAATTTCCCACTAGTTCAGCGTCCCCGGATTTATGGATTGGAACTACCTTGGCCATTTTCCATTCTGTTGGGAAAATTCCAGTGCTAAGTGAGACATTATAAATTCGAGTTAAAGGAAAAGCTAGAGTCTCGGCGCAATTTGAGATAAAAACCGGGGGAATCCCATCAGGACCGGCACCTTTAGATTTATCTAATGACTTGAAAAACTTTATTACTTCAGATTCGTTAATAAAAATCCTTGTAAAAGAGTCATGGTTGTTTGCAAAAATATCAGCAGTACTAAGGTTCTGAACATTACCGTGGACTATTGAAGTATCATCTTCATACACTGATGTAAAGTGGCTAGCAAACATGTTGCAGATTTCTTCACCATCCGAACTACACGTGTTTCCATCACTCATAGCAGCAGGATTACTTTTACCTCCCCTCTTTTGCTTATAGTAAGACCAAAAATATTTGCAATTTCTAGTGATATTTGCTTCTAAGAACCTGATGTACTCATTATAATTCAATCGAGCCACCCTCTCGCTTCGCATACTCAAACATTTAAGCTCTAGTTCATCTCTAGGATTTCTATATTTTTTGAATCGCCTGCGCACATTTTCCTTTTCGGCAAGAATTCTGATCAGTGGTCTACTAAACCAGAATGGAAAATTTTTTTTCTTAGGTTTGGTAATAGGAACAAAATCACGGATAGTTTCATTAATGAAAGTATAAAAATTAGAGATCATCTCGTTAACATCTTTACATGATGCAAATAATTCCTCCCAATCAAAATTAGCTAAATATTTATTTAACGAAGTATAATCAGCGTTATAAAAGTTAAATCTAGGATGGTCATTGTAAATAAGTTGCTCCTTACCTACCAGAGGAAGAACGATGTGAAGAGGAGGATGAAACGAATGCGCGTTCAACAAAACTTCACAAGACTTATTAACCGTACAGGATGCATTTGACAAAACGAGATCCAAAATCTTACCGTAGCTATTCACTATAAGATTGTGTTGCTTCAGATTGTTCAAATTTATAAAATTTAGTAGTGACTGCTCCAAAGATGTAATTCCAGTAACTTTACCCGTCTGATAAAGCTCAGACCATGTTATTTTTCTCAAGTTAAAATCACCAACAATAAATATGGGGGAATCCCATTTATCAAAAAACATATTACAATTTTTAAGGAAATCATTATTATTACGTATTGATTAGGATTATTAATTTATTCTGACGATTATGGGGCATGTGTTCATACCTTCGAGCCCTGGCCTTAGCCCGCCTGGCCTCGGCCTGCCTCTCGCGTTCCTCGCGCTGCCACGGGTTGTGCGGCGGCTGGCCGCGCGGCGCGCTAGCGCCGCTCAGCGGGTATACTGACACGGCCGGCGGCTCCAATGCACTCGCCACATAGCGCTCTGCAACACAATTTAATTCTACTTTATTATTCAAAAAAAGAAATAAATACTTCCAATTCAGTAGTATTGCAAGATTATCCATGATTTTTAATTTCGCTGCTTTTCAAGTGTTCAGGTCAGTTATGTGAACAAATGAGCTTCTTTTTTTGTAAATAAAACAACGATACATCGTCTGCGCGCCAGACATTATTCAGTTTTATTAAACAATCTTCCTGAAGAAATAAGTGTTTTTGAGTTAGTAATAATAATCATTTATAGTCTGCCTTTTTGAAGACGAAGTAAAATGACATTTGCAGTCATGTAGTAGTTGTTGACAGTTTTATCGATCGATTGTGAAAGAAGGTACAATTTTGCTGAGACGATTAAAACACTGCACCGCAGCGATGAAAACACGCGTCGTCCAACACACTGACAACGTTTCTCCGCGAGGGAGCGCGGCGCGACCGCAGGGTATGGCACACTGCGCTCCGACGTGTTCAGTTTTCTACAATGGATCTCGACGTCGATAAATTTATATTTGCTATTGAAAGTCGACCAGCAATTTGAAACATGACTTGTAAAGAGTACAGTGACCGCGTTCAAAAAGTAAAGCAATGGGAAGCAATCACTACGGCCATCAACTACGAAGTGAGTACTTTAAGTCGCGGTGCAGTTTATTAACTCCCTTAAAAATGTCTTAAATTGTGAATGTTACAACGTTCTAATGGTTGGCCTACTAGTACATTATAGTAAGAACAGGCGGATTCGATTATCTATATTGAATGAGAATGAAAAACTTTAAAATATGTCTCCTCTTTGTATTTTTAATACACATAGTTCTAAATGCCGTGTATGTATGTACGAATTTACAAAAATTGGCAATTGAAATAACCTGCGCCCAGCAGTTGGACGAACAATGGGCCGATGATAATATAACAATTATATCGTCATCGGCTATTTATTGCATAAGCGTGGCTAACATTCAGTCGATAGTTGATAAAATATTTATCGACTGCAATCACTACCTGCTTATAAGCGGGCAACACTATTGCGCAATGAACTGCCATTTTACTCCATCTTCAAGAACGATAGATTATATTAAGATTTAAGAGTATAATATTCTAGATAGTCATCGATTAATTAACTTTGACGTGCTAGGAATATTCTCACCGTCATCGGGCTGCAGCGTGCCAGTCTGCTGCTGTTGTTGATGTAGTTGTTCTTCTAATTCTGCCTCTGATCGTCTGACACCCTGTTCGCAAAATATTGTAGATTATATTATATTTATCAGTAAAAAGAAAATAATAAGTTAGGAATTTGTTTAAAAGTAACAATGCTCACCTGTGGCTTCGGAGCGACAGGCGGTTGAGACCGTTGCGGAGAAGGCGGTCCAGGTGGATGCCACTCGTACCTGAAAACAGTTACAGTTTAAGCGCTCTAAGGCTGAGATTTAAAAAACCAACTTTTTTTAAACTTGGAGTTTGATTTGTTGTTTATTTTGTTAAACTTAGGCAAAGTTCGTTTTGTACATACAAAAAACTTGCTAAGCTCGCCAACTATCCTTAGCCGAAGTCAAATTTCGCTAAAATATTAATCTTAGCCTTAGTTAAGTAACAAGTTAGGCTGAGCATAAGCGCAAATAGAGAAAATTCGCCAAAATTTTTTTTCTTGTGTACCGACTATAGCGCTAATATAGCATTAGTATGCGCAATGATCATGCTAGGGCCTGTAGCAGTGATATTTATTATGCGTGGCATCATTTGTAGAGAAAATTTGCAATGCCATCTTGGTTCTCATGCTAAGCCTGCCTATGAATTAAACCAACATAATTGAGCAGTATGTCTCATAGGTATTTTGGAGTATATCGTGGATACATGTATGAATTTGTCGATGTTTTTTTTATTGGCATGGGTGGGGTTCCAGAGAAACCATAAAATTTATAATTGCAATTCTATTTACAGCACCACAACGTATGAAACGCACAATCGCGTTCACCTTCATAGTATTTTCTAACAATCATTTCGCGCTGTGTACCTCTCAATAAAACATATTTCCTTATACGTATATCACTTACCTCTGTGGTGACATGTGCTGGTTATGGTACATTTGCTGATTGTTATGCGGCGGCGGGCTGTGCACGTGTGGCAGCTGAGGTGACTGTGGCGCAAATTGCGGCGACAACGGCCCGTGCATATGCATACTCGGACTCATAGGACTCTGATGATTCTGATGGTTTTGCGTCATGATGTGGTTAGTTTGAGTCATCATGGGACCAGGTGGTGTTTGCGCCAACATTTGCTGGCTCTGACTGAGCGCTTGATTTGGATGCTGATGCGTTAACAACGGTGGGGGCTTTCCATGGTACATTTGTTGTTGTTGTTGTTGTTGTTGCTGCTGCTGCTGCTGCCGTCGTGTTACTTCCTCGGACATTTCTGCTAGTTTTGCAGCGCGGGCATTCATTATATTTGCCTAAAAAAGTAATATGTGACGTTGTAATAGTAACTTGCAGCAATACTTTTGAAGAATCGCTATAATCCATAATGGGTTAATACAACGTCAAATGGCTTTGGTTGATTTCCCAGAACAGTCAAAGTGTTGAATCAATCACAAGAGTCCTAAAAAATTTCCACGATAGAAATAAACACAAACTGACCTCAAAATTTTACAAGAAAACAGCTGTATTCAATAGGTACTTTACATATACCAATGATTTTTTGTTAAATATCAACTGAACTAAATAGAACACGTATAGTATACGATATATCAAATGGCTTTAATTTTGTTTGTAACAAAAATAAATTCTGAAATAAAGCCAGTGTCCCTAGCACTCGACTCAAGCAAAATGAACCGTATTAGTACGGGAAAAATTTTAATTCGAGCTGGGCTAGTATCGACTATTAATGATCTACCCATTGCAGGCATTGCAGACATACAAGTTTTTGAACAATTTTTGTGAATCTACGACGTCAGTATCCTCGCGATGCAATATCTATAGCTTAAAAACTAGCGCTTACTTTGTATCAACTGTTTACTTACTTGTTGTAGCAATGGTGAATCAGGCGGCCGCTCCGCGTTGACTGCTGAGAAGTGAGCGGACTGTGGTCGGTTACTTCCCGTTGAGCTGCGCAACGACGACCATCTATTATTCATTTAATCATTATATTTCGTACGAAAGAAACAACTTTATCAGGCATTTGTTATTTAATTCAAAAAGTAGTACGTATGTATATCAGTAAATCAACCAACTTATTTATGATTACCTGTTCTGCAGTTGCTGCTGAGAGTGCACAGCGGAGAGGTTCTGGTAGAAAGCGTCGTGCTGCGGCTGCGAGAGGTTGTGGCTACTGCGGGACTTGCTGGCCCATGCAGCGCCCGAAACTCCACCACCGACTGGACCGCTTGACACCGGGCTTAGTGTGCCGCTATTACCGTGTTGCATGTGTTAATTAATTCTGATGATAACCCAACTGTGTTCGTAAACTACTTTCAATTCTAATATTAACAAAAAGTTTTACGAGTTGTTGTTTCACTGTGATTATAGGCCTTACAATGTTCCATTGTTAAGCAAATCGTATTGGATTATTAGTGGCGTCACAGATGTCGATTGCAGTATACGATTTATTATGTCTTGTTACATGATATTAACTTTAATATGTGTACTTACACGAGGTTGGTAAGAAATTACTAAGCGAGTAAAATGTACCTAGGGGGATGGAATTGTGGCGGCGGTGACGCGACCTGATGCAGCGCGGGAGTGCTTTTGCTAGGCTTAACAGGCTCAGCGGCCAGCCGCGAAGGCAAGTCACGCTCTGACGCGCGCCGCATCGCGCCACCACTGCCTGTGCCCGTCGCTGCAATACAACAAACACCATACATAACACTTTTCTTTCAACGTCGTGCTTTCTGAACGTCCAATAGTTTGATATTACGTACGTCAAAAATAACGTCGTGATATCCATCAAACCGTCAGATTTAAAAGAGCGTTAAATGTGTACTCGGTTTGTGAGACGTAGTCTAGCGTTTAGGTTCTAGTCGTTCAGAATACACATGATCAATCATTTGTAATTTACTAGTGAAAAATAACTAGAATCAAAATCATCACAAGAATTTGCGAAAAAATGTAGTGATAACATTAATTGCAAAAATTTCTTTATGTAAAAAAAAAGTTATCATAAGTCTACGAGTGTTAAACATTGTGCATTGACAAAAGTAAAACCAAGTTTCGGAATAACATAACTGTGTACTACAATAAAAATGTCATCGAAACGAGTCAAACGAGGAAATAAACAAAATGATGATATAAGCAGATTCGTTGATACTCTTATAAAAAAAAAAATCTTAAAGAAACGGTCGGCGTGCCAAACATAATTGAGTGAGAACGACAGATAACATATATCGTGCAGAGGACTATAACACACCTATTGTATTTATCATGCGTAGTGGTGGGTCTTACACGAGGTGTTGAGAGCGGAGGGGGGGCGAACGACTATCGCAGGACAGCTGTGGCGCGGTTGGCCGGCGGCGTAAGCAAGACGCCCGCGTACGCTGCCGACGCTTATATTCGGGCAACTCTGTACCACATTCACATACGACTGCCGTCTAGAATCAGTATTTACCGGCGCCGATGTGTCCAACAGAGACGACGCGAGCTTCTGTGGCACCATAGCATCTACCCTCATCACTCGCAGTCCATCGAAATTCTCCAAACTCCCGCTCCCCTCTAGAGACTCCTTGCTCAGCTTAATTTCAGAATTAACACTGGATTGATTCGATATTAACTTTATGTTGTCGAGAGTAATTTTTTTCGGCTTTTTATTGATAATTTCGTTGAAAACGAAACTATTGTTGTCAGCGTAGTCCTCCGAGGGAAGGTTGGGCAATTCAAATTCGTTTCCTTGTGCTAGGGTGTCTTCGCTACCTCGAGAACCATATCGAGACCAATCTTCTAATTGGATTAGTATACTTTTCACCTCTTCTTCGGACATTTTCTTACCTTTAGTATCACTTGAGTCAGTTTCCTTGGATTCATAATGGATATCTGCCAAACTAGCACTACTGGGTAGATTTTCACAAATTTTAAATTTATCATCCCTGGCGCTTAAATTAGGGCTAGATTGACAGTTTCTTTTGTAGTTCTTAACGCAGTATGTAAGATTGATATCATTAAAATGTTTGGTTAATGCTTTCACTTTACCAAAAGCCGGACGATATTCATCGGGAGATTTCCAAGACTTCCTGTCTACGCTATCCAAAACTTGCCTCGCACCACCGTCTAAAGGGGTATGTGCAACATTTCTTCCTGATTTTTTTTCATTTATAGTATTATCAAAAGAATCAGAAGTAGAATATGTAGAAGGAATTTCCGTTTCTTCTGATTTCGAAAATGATTTAGACATACTGAATAACGTTCTTTTAAGGCGACACTGCATGTTTTCTATTCTTCTTGACTCACTTTTAATATCTAGATTTAATTCCATTTTCCTGGGGAGAGGTGTCGGTGGAGTAGATATGACTTTTATGCCGATATCTATGGGAGATGAAGGTGTTTGACAAATTGCATCGGCTGTCTCAGGTTTAACTTCTTCTGACTTGTCTATTGATAGTGATGGTAAGATTCGACGAGTTTTTGGTGTTGCAACTTTGTCAAGTACGCTGTCATTTTCAAAAATTAGAGGCTCACAATTTGGTTCGTCTATGAACGGTATTAGATGCGAATCAGGCTGTGGTGTGCGACAGCACTCACACGCGCTGACGCACTCGTCTACGCCTGTACATCTACGTCTATAAAAATTGTCTTTCGTTTTTCGAATCTTGAACAAGTCTAAAGTAAGTTTGGTGTCTATAGGCTTCATTTGGGGGGGCAAACAGATGGCGTCATCGTTTTCACTGGATTGGTCGTAATTAATGGGCGGCTCTGGTACGGGAGGAGGATTTTCATCTTCCTGGGTTATATTGCTGTCATGTGTCGTTGTATCTGAACTGGGGTGAAGTTCATCGAAGTCTTCGCAAGTAAAGGTAAAGACTGGAATAGGCCGCGGAGGGGCAGGCCCGCATTTAAATTCTAAAGGACATCCAGGAGTATCTGGGGACATGTCGTCTTGTAATTGATTGTTTTCTCTGTCCAAGGTTATAATTAACCTAGGTATTGAGCCGTGATAATGCGGTTGACATTTCTCACTGTCATCTGTGCTAGATTCTGTCGACTCATCTCTCAAGAGATGGCATCTATTGTGACACGGCCGGCGACCGTACCCTGTAATATTAGATAATTGTATACGTCGAATCAACCTCGAATTCTAACATGGAGGCGAAAAGCGAACACAAGACGAAACAGTAATTCAATTAAAAATTGATGAACTTAAAATACGAAAACGGCAAATAATTCGACGTCGAGAAAAACAAATCGAAGCTTTAAAAAAACACAAAGAAGTATTACGGTACGCGAACACTTATCGATATCACAAGAAAAGTATTTTTGTTGTAGATTATATCGTTTCTCATGTACTTGAGTTCACGAGTTCGCAGCGTACTCTACGAGTTTCGGTATGATTATGAAGCAAGAAGGATTATATACACATGTACCATCCTGTTTCGATAAGTGAGTGCTTACCGTTTTGAATAATTTTTCGCAGCGTTGGTAATAACTGTACGAGTCAACAGATCGTTTGACATCTACACCTAATGCAAAAGGTAATAAGTATATAAGTATGGTAGTAGTTGCCTGCGGTGGCGAGCTCAGTGAGCGGCGAAACGGGCTTGGTGAGCGCGGGGTGTGTATTGGTGAAAGTTCCTGAGTTGCGCCGAAACCGGTCCTCGTACTGCACTTCTTCGTCTGGCGCCACATACCAACATTTTAGATAAATCTACTACCTTCTTTAAGCTACGTACTTCAGTAGACATAGACGAGCTGAGAGAGGTTTGTTCAACGCAAATATTTTTATGTTACTATCCCTCCTTGCCTATAAATTACAGAATGAATAATGTCTGGGACGTAGATGAAAAATCAGGTAACCTTAAACAGTTGCTATTGTTTTCATTTGTTAAACTCAAACGACATAGGCCAGGAACATTCAACTTCTACCTACGAAGCTGAGCGTATCCCCGAGTCCATATGAACCAATGTTAAATTAAATAAATAAATATACATTTACAAATAATCTAATATACTAATGTGTATATACTTCAGCAAAGGTTACCTTGTCGTTGATTATACGCAGGCTGGTGTAGCAACGTGGCGAGACCGTGGAGCACAGCTCCTTGCTTGGCAACCTCTAGTGTCACCGTGGGCCCGGTCCGTACTAGGTACTCTGCCGCCTATGAATAATAAAAACAAATTAATGAAGAAAAAATCCTCGGGTCTTTGTTAGTATTAAAATGTTCCGTGAAAAACCAGAGTACAGACAGTCTATTTTCAATAATTCATCGATAACTTCTTGGCTAATGAAAGGTAAAATTGTTTACACGGATCATCTACAAGATGCCTGTTTACTCTGATTCATGACAAGAGTAACGAGTCGTTTTTATTAGATTGGTGAGACCGAGTACGTACCTTTTCTTGTGTAATTCCCACGAGAGAATGTCCGTCGACGGAGAGCAGCTGGTCCCCAGCTGCAAGACGGCCGTCAGCAGCCGCCGCGCCACCCGGTACCACGGACTTTATATAGATGCCTAATTTGCTCTGGCCCGCTCCCTGCAAACAAGCAGTAGTTCTGATGTACAGAACATCCTAAATACTGACAGTGGATTTTCGTTTTGATATTTACTGATAACAAAACTATTAAATTTTTTTTTTATTATTATTTTATACTTTTTGTTTAGTTCAGATTTTGATGTGTTTCAGTGGTTTTTTATTTAATCTGTTTTCAATAATAACATTGTTCAAGCATTTTTTTTATTTTATTTTTGTGTTATTATTTTGGGCCACTTATTGACTTTTCAAATTAATGAAAGGCGTTTTAACTCTAATTTGTAAAAAAAAATTAATATTTTGCTTTTATTGATATTTTACTGATTCACCATCCAAAAAACCGCAGCTTAAGTTTCAAGTAAAAGGAAAATATTATGAGTAAAAAAATAATTTGTACACGTAAATTAGGCAACTGGAAACTCTCGTCCTTTGCGCGATGTTGCAACTTCGCGCAGCATCGCTTGCGGCATCCAAGTCGCTAGTAGAACTTTCATCCCGGGAATCTCAGTGTCGAAAACTTCGAATCTCAACCATTTTTTGGCGTTTTTGAGAGTCAAGACTGACGTTTTCAATCTCAGGTATGTAGTGACTTTTGAAACTTAAGTAATTTAATTAAAAGTATTAAAAATCTACTAAATTATCAGTTTTTTTTATATAGTACCAAGTGACGGAACGATTAAATCGTCGCCTATCCATAACAGTTGCAGTGCCACTCAGTGCTTTGAATCACAAAGATCTCAGGGGCACTACCACTGTGCCCGTCACCCTGAGACATAAGTTGACAAGTCCCACGTAATTTCACCAGCATCCTTCCAAACCGGAACGCAGTAATGCTCACATTATTGCTTGGCGCCAGAAATAGGTAAGGTGGCAGTATTTCCCTGGACAAACTCTTTCACAAGGAGCTCTACTGCTACTACTTTTATTCTGGCTACACGGATGTGGCAACACTGTAGAGTGCAGCTTATTATAATTTGTGGAATTTAAGAACGGTAGTAACAAAGTCAGGTACTCTCCATCTAAAACTGTACTAAACGCCCATTGTTTCTTACGTACCCATTATATAAATGAAAAAATGACTTTTTATTTTATAATTTGTGTTAATAAAGAACTTAATTAAAATATCATGTTTTGACTACCTAAATATATAGAAGCCTACTTTTACGTCTCGAAAGTGTCATTTTTCCCGGGACTCGGAAATGCAGTGAGATTGAAAGCCTTAGTCACTAGTAGCTTTTTATTACACAACGATACAATGATACAACTCACCTTAGCCGCAACAATACTAAGTCCCATCCCATTCGAATTCTTGTTTAACTGTATTATCTGTACTCTTGGGTCGGGCGGACGTCGATTCTGTGATCCATATCCTGTCATATAGACTGTCCATACGCCAACCGCGTGCGGTTGGTGCGCCAGACGGCATAGTCCTCCTCTTTGAAGAGGCGCGACAAACTCTGCTAGTCCCGGAGGGACGCCACGGACTACTTCTGCACTGAATCCGTCACCAGGTATTAGAAGGCCAGCGCCCAACCACTCGCTTTCTTCCAGCCTTATCTGAAGAGTAAGAATTGTAATGTTTTTATTATGATTATTTATTGACACAAAGGTCGAACAATCACAAAAAAATACTTCAACCTGACTTGACTCGAATCAGTGTGTTGCCTCACCGTGGCTAGCGCTCTTACCATACTGAATTAATTTTATATAATTATTGTTTAACTTATGAAATAAAATCTGGGTCCTTCAAATCAGTCATTTGTTGTAATTAAGTATTTTCAAAATGATTCGTCAAATAATTTAAATTGTTATACACGAAAATTTTATTTTGTTTGATTGTTTGTTACATAGGTCCAAGTGCATTGTTCTCTTACATTATATAATAAAAAGTAACCAACCTCTCTCCCATCAGCTCTACATAGTTCGTCGGCTAAGGCTCGAGCGTGAGCAACGGCTGCCTCTACGACGTCAGACGTGCACAACGGTGACAGCAGAGCGCGGACTTGTACAGAGTTCAACTTGAAACACGCTGACAGTGCTGCTCGAACTTCGTCTGCATTGCGGTATTCGCTTTGGATTAACCGGGCTGCAAGAAAATATGTAATTATTAGTAAGTCATATAAGTAGAGCTTCCAACATTTGGAGATAGACCCGAGGTCTAAAGTCTTCTTGTTTTTTTTAGTGTTATAAAATAAGTGTTAAATTGCTTATGCTTATATTTCTTATGCTTATATTAGTAGTACTATTAGGTTTATGTTATAGATATGTGGTTTTTTATGGCAATGTAAATTACCGGCTTGGTGGGTCCTGGCGAGATGGCAGTCAGCAGCGAGCTCGAGTCCCTGCCGCTCGGCCCAAGCCGCCAGCATAGCCAGCCGCGCCGCCAGCGCCGCGCCCCACCTCCCCGATACGCAACCCGGCTCCGTTACCAACTACAACATTAACACAAATAAGGTACTAAACAGCGAGAACCAGCTGACGGTAAGGAAATATACTTTGATGGTGACCCTCTTACCACAAATCTGTAGTTGAGAAGTAAAGAACCTTATGGGTATAAAAGTAACTTTAACTATGTAGCGTTTTAAAGAGAATGAGGTTCTTAATTAGACGTTTAAAAATAATCTTAAGGTCAAATATCGACTGTGAACTGGCTACTGGTACTATCTCAATTTTGACAACTTTACAGGATGTAGAAAAAATCATTTATATAGCATTCGCTTTATTAAATAAAAATATGTAGTGTACATACATACAAGTCTAATAAAAATATCTAAAAACTACGTATTTTTATCTTATAAACCAGATGATCCTGTTAAGTTTTCAAAATTGAGATAGTACCGATTGCCAGTTCACAGGCGATATGTTGAATAAAACATAAATGACGATAGGACTTAATGTCTTTCATCTTTGCGTGATTTTTCGCATTATGTAAGGCAATGTTCGCAAAAATATTTAAATTCCAAAATATGAACTTAAGGTCCTTTATCCCTCACCTACAAAAATAGATATACTAATATATATATTTTATTTGCTCATATGAATTGCACATAAATAACAAATCGACCTTAGAAAACGAAAACGTAATCAATAGCACTAAAACAAATTTTAATTTAATTGTGTACATTAACAATATTATATAAAACTTTAATAGATATCGTGTACTGTTACTACTCTTATTTTATTTTATTGATTTAAACAAAGTAATGAAAGTAATATGTTTTAGAACACTTTCTATTTTATTAAAAACACACTTTGTTTTGTATATAACAAAGCATGACGTTCGAAAGTATGGCGTTTCGAACCGAAACGCAATTTGAAAATACAAAGCAGTAAAAATTTTATTACTCGTTTCAGGATTGTTCTAATAGGTCATAAAATATAATTTATGTCTTTTCCTTAACTCACATATTTCTACAAAAAACAATACGTGCACTTACTTCTTTAAATTATTGTAATAAATTATCTTAGAAGGAGCTCTATATATTTTTTGTTACGTGTAATTATATACGTGACAGAAAAAGTATAAATTGATCAGTTATTATCTCTTGTTATTACCTTATTGAAACAAACAGCGTTTATATAGTGGAAGAGATGCGAAAATAGTTGTATAGTGAGCGCGGCGTTGACTCTACACCGCCGTAGTAACACCATAGCTGCTGCGAGCGTTTGAAGAGTCGGCGCCGTCGCTTCAGTGGCGTCCACAACTGCTGCGTTAGTTAACGTCGCTAATGCTCTCGATAACTCTTCTTGGAAGCACGATACTAAATTGCTGTAGGGATAGTTATTTCATGATTTATCATAATAGAAAAAGGTTGAATATGGCACTGATATACTTATAACAAATATATCTCCCGTTTTCTTGTAGAGGTTTTTAAAATTACAAATTAGTGATACTGAATTAAGAAATGCAGCCGCAATTAATGTAACAAGTGTTCATACGTGATGGAATTGCGCAAATTAGTTCTCTAGGGGATCTTTGTTGATCTTTATGAATATAATTTTTGCGATTAATTTGACGTGGTACACTAGAGGTGATATGTCACTGTCCGGTTTTCTCGCTAACGTTTATATGTAACTATGCCCTGTTGCAGTACTAATGTGGTATGATCAATTATTGCAGTGTTTTATTTGAATAAGTATATAAAAACGATAATGTTACGACAAACAATATACGTACTTATATATATTTTGTATAAAAACAGGGTCATACAATCTTAAATAATCGTAATATGTTTACTAATAGCAAACTTTTAAAATCTCAATAATGACTTTTACTTTGCAACTATAAGATAATTTACCTGAAAGCATTCTGCACGGTAGTAGGTAGTAAATCCTGCGCTTGCGTGGAAAAGGAAGATATGTGTCGGTCGCATTTGAGGAAGTGCAAAAGCTCGCTCGCGTTTGCCATCCAAAAGGCCTGCGCCGCGGAATCCGTGCACCGGTCCTATACGAACAAAGTATGGAGTTGCTTTATCAAGATATTTTCTTAGTCATTCACAACTTACTCAAACACTTCTTCTTCAAGAAGTGTTTAAGTAAGTAATGGCCAATATGCGATAGATAAATCGAAGATAGCGGGGCCGTATATTTGCTTAGCCGTGCCGCAATATGTCCTTGTTTATATGTTAACGGACAATGTTCAACTAACGTAAACACTGTGTTTTAATTACATAGAATAAACACTTACTTGGACGGTAGTGTGGATAAGCGTCGCAACGTGGTGTAGGAAGGCGGTAAGTTTGTGAGCGCGCTCGGTTGGAGTCAACTCGGGTCGGTAGTGTGTCGATGCTCGATATCTGTATTGATAAATATTTATTTGCCGTGGTAGAGTTGTGGAGAATTAGTGCTTAAGGCTTCACAAAGCTCCCTTCCTATCGGTTTGCTGAATGTTTTTTCTCCAACGTTATTGTAGTGTATATAGAACAGAATTTTAAGGTTTAGGGAAGAGATAAATCTTTTAAAAACAATGGACAACAGAAGGGGAAAATGTTTGGGCATTTGTTACGTTATGATGAATTTGTGATAGTTATAATTGAGGTCAAAAAGCTAACGATGAACCGTGACGAGCGGAGGAGGCTACACCGACAAGAGCCTGGCTCTTAAATAGGATTTGAGTAGTAGAGTAGATATTGAACTAAAAATAAGAACTGAAATAGAAATATATATAAATACAATAGTAGCATTAGCAGCGTACTTTCCGCATTGAATTAAAATGAAAATTAAATATGTCTCCTTTTTGTATTTTTCATAAACATAGTTCTAAATACAGTACAGTGTATGTGTGTATGAACTTACTAAAATTGACAATTCAAACGAACTTGTGCTCAGTAATTGAATGAATAATGGGTCGAGGATGATTCAAATGAAACAAGCTCGGCTATTTATCCTATAAGCGTGACCGATATTCAGTCGATAGTCGATAGAATATTTATCGACTGCAATCTTTAACTGCTCGCAAGCGGGAACCGTTTGCGCAATGAACTGTTATTTTACTCCGTGTTCAAAAAAGACAGGCTATAGTGAGTACATTAGCACTAGGTACTCTTTTTTATATGATATTGTAGCTTATGATGATTTACAAACGAGAGGCAACGTACAAAAGGTCTTAACGTAACATGATTGCTCATATGAAGCCTTTCAGGGAATTATAACACCGCTCTTAAAATTTAACGTGCATTAAAGTTAATGCATGTTTGTGTACTTGTGTGTTTATCAACAAAGCTAGGCGTTTAGAAAGTGAAGTGTGAAGACCACACGTAGTCACGTCATGGGAACATTAGTTTTTGTTAATATATTTAATGTACGCAACTTACCTAGCGCACAGGTACAATGTGTAAACAGGAGCTAGTTTGAAGGCCGGCGCATGGGGGTCAAGGCGCGTGATGACGGCTTGCAGAAACTGCGCTTGACCAGCCTCGGGGAACTCCAACACTGCAGGCAAGATTGGTTCTTGACCAGGTCTCGACGCCGGCACTGTTGCGCTCAACCTAGCACCATATTTTGTTAATGTAGGCTAAACTACTCCCAAGAACAGAAGATAGGTCTGCTGTAAAATAGGCCTTTTATTTTTTTTTACATTTTATAATCGATAATTTAAAACATCAAGGACATTTGAAAAAATAGTAATACAACTTACTGCAAATTACAAAATTTCCCCTATACAAGTAAAAATAGATAGGCTATTTTTACTTGTATACAAACACGTATTTCGTTTTTTATTGGTCATGTTAGTATTATTACCGCGTACACTTTTCACACACCGGTTCGACTATTCACTGCAATAATACTATAATGACCAATAGAAATTCGACAGGCTTCGCTGAAGCACGTCTTGTGGTCTCATAAAGGTCTTTCTGGTTTTACTTTCGAAGAACGAAAATCGCCTGTTTTAGAAAATTACATTAATTAATATTAAGGACTCCTGAAAGCCAATTTTCAGCCGGTACGAAAAAATTTCGACAATCAATTCAAATTTATAGTTTTGAATTTTGTTGACCCGTACGACTAAAGCCAACAACCTACATGGATAGGCATCTTGTATCAATCATGCCAATTTGGCGTCAGCTCCGGACTTTATATAATTCTATGGAGACAGCAATCTTCAATGCACATTATTTATTATTAGTTCAATTGATAATATAATAAATAATATATCAACGTCTTAGGCATAGTAACTGCTGTTAACAGGGTTCACGTTTCATTTATATTTATAAACATTTTGCGATGTATCTAACTAACACAGTATTATTAAGTTATTAGTTACTAGCGAAGGTGCGATTGATGTACAAAATGAATATTAATATACATATAAAGAATCTTATTAGTTATAGGCAAAATGATCATTAAAGTGTCATTAACCGGATAAAAAGACAATATAGGGATAATATTTACCCGGCCATTTTTCAACAAAACATTATGAATCACGAATTTATACTTAATAATCGATTATAAAAAAAAAACTTATTACGTCGTTTGTATTTTGGCCTCTGAGTAGTAAATATCGGGAAGGTGAAAACTAAGACCAAAAACGAAAGCACGTCGGTGATTAGTAGAAAGGTCGTAAGTAACATTTCGAAAAAAATTGTGAGGAGCATGTTTTTTCGGTTTAACGACTATTTTAAAATATTTACGTCCTGTTTTAAAATACAATTTTGGTTTAAGTTTAAGTTCTAAAATTTCAATTTTAGAACTTAAACTTAAATAGGGCGTAAATATTTTAAAATAGTCGTGAAAACCTAAAACATGAAAAATTTTTCCAAATGTCGTTTTCTACAAAACATATACACATACTGACGATAATGTCGTATAATAAACCGTTTATAATAAATCGTTTGTAGGAGTTGACGTACGACGCTAACAGAATTCACATTTGCTATTTCACAAGAAAACTGACAACATGTAGCTTGTGTTATAACAAATTTCAGTAAAACCATTATTTACTTTTCCTAGAACCGAGTGAATGTGACGTCCATTGTAAGTTCACTACTCACGCCGCGTTTATTTATCCGTATATATACAATTCATACTATATTTTTTTACTGACCTAATTTGAACTACATCGTGTAAGAAAATTACAGCACACGACGCAGCGCTAATACCATCACTCGAGTATAATTAAGAACCTCGGGTAATTCAATACACCCGTCAATTACTTACGATCTATACTTCGCCCATTAGGCACCCAGAATTCATGTTACGTTTTAAATTAATGGACAAGGGAAAGGACATTTTATTCACTTTTCCTTTTTAACAATTTATTAAAAGTTACCTGTTGTCGTGGCCAGACCCGCCGCTCTTCGCACTGCAAATGCTTTTAGTCTCCACATTACCATCTAAATCGAACGTGGTCTCATAATTATCCTTATACTGCGAATTCGCGGTCCTATTGACACTTTGATCCTGATCGTTATACAACGAGCCTGAATGCTCGTCTCTCACATCTCGTATGTAATCATCTTTAGAGTCGTTGAGATGTTGGGACATCATTAGAGATTCATTATCGAGTTTTAGCGTGTTATTGTTGTATGGTGCGACGGTATCATTAGCGTTGTACGCGTAAGCATCTTGCGAGTCAGGGCTCATGGCGCGCGGGTAGTCCTCGGCGTTGGCGTTAGGATCGAGCGGATCTGGTTGATGGGAGGCCATAGAAGTGGGCGACATCGCGCCGCTGTTATCACCAGGTGATGTCGGCGATCTAACGTAGTAAGAGTAACGGACACAAGCAGATGTTGGTGAGCCAGTGACAGAAACATGCAACGAAAGAAAACAACTATGATAAATGATGAACATAAAAACACAGAAAGTGATTGCACAGGAAGCGAACTGGACAGTGTTCTATATTGGTTTAAAAAAATCAAAATAACAGAGTTGTATGTGTTTCTAATATGCTGAAATAGTACCTACTGAAGGTCGTCAAAATCGAAGCTAATCTGTTTATGGCGAATTTTAATTATCAACATTCAATAATTGTTAACATTTAATGATCGTCTCACAAATTAACACATAAAAAATGTCTTCGATAAGAACGACGATGTGTGTTTAGAATTGAAATAAGTAAAATACAACACGGACTAAAATGCACAACTAGTGACAACATAAAGAAGTTGAGTAAAAATAATACACCACGAACCTGTCGTATATAGAGCCGGAGCCAAAGTGCTGCGACTGCGATAGGTTCCTATTCAGCAGGTTCTCTTGCGCCGGGTCCACGAAACGGAATGTTGATACGCGCCCGAACTTTAGAAGACAACCGTGCTGCACACAATAGAATGGTATTAGCACCGGATTTTTATTTATTTTTTTTTTTTTGTAGGAAAGGATTTGCTAACATTGGATGTACTTGCAAATTATAAACTAGCAATTAATAAAATTTTAATTTTGAAAACTCGAGCGACCGAGCTGTCGGGTCGCCTCGCAGAAAGAGTAAGTTTAGCCATTCAAAAGGGAAATGTTGCCAGCCTTCAGGGTACGAATATGTAAGGGTACGGCTCTCGAGGAAATTTTCTATTTATAAGCTTTTTTACATTTTTATGTGTTATAGTTACCTGTTATAGTTTAGTAATTGTAAAGAGTAAGTAATTAGATAATTTGTTTTCATATTGAATGTATAGTAATAATATAAATTATAATTTTGAAATCGTTTGTTTCATCAAATTTTTTTTTTTGTGGCCGCAACATACTTAATACAATTTTTTTTATCAAAAAGTCCATATTTCTTCTCAAAATTCACAATGTTACGGCCGTATTAAATCAAAAATGGCAATGTAAAAATACATTAATTAGAGAATACTTAATAAAGAGTCTTTACGAGAACGCGCCACTGAATGTAAGTTATCGAGTTATACCGAACACAAGGAGTCGGCAAGGCATTCCGGAAGTAAATACGGCGTAATTAAAAGCACCGCCAGGGATAATTGCCTTAATACGGTTGAGAACATAACGCAATTTACCAGTTTTCTTATTTTTGCTTATGAGCGAAATAGCAAATTAGGTCGTAAATACTTATTGCAACTGTTAACTAAATATAATTTATTATACTTTTTTATTTATTTCTTACGGGCACTGATAGAATAGCTTGTGTTTATTTGGAAAACAATAGTAATTATTTGTACTATTACCCCCAGAAAAAGTAACTGCCTCGGTGGCCAAACGGTTACCATTCCGGACTGCAACGCAGAGGTCCCAGGTTCGTTTTCCGGGCCGGGAGAAATGTTTGCATACATTTGTTTCTCTCGTGAGTTTGGGTGTAATTTGTGGTTCTCTATGTGTGTGTCTATGGCATCCGCGACTCAGGGTTACCCTAGTGCGGGGCTATGTTGAGTGTGTGCGTTATTATTATTGTTATTACCACTGCTAATATAATAAAGTAACAACCTAGTAAACAGGAGAAGCAAATTTTAACAAAATTGAGAAGGCTGTAGAAAACATGTAAAATGTTACACGTTTCACGATGTCCCAATGCCGACCGAGACGTGACCGGAAAAAGGGCTTCTTCAGGTTTAGTGCACACTAAAAAATAATGGAATCACGGGTCTTTATGTAGGGTGTAACATCAAGCCAATATCATGTCTATAGAATGTTTTTAAAAGCGCCGACACAAAAAGAAGAGTGCTTTAAAAATCAGTGGATACGTTATACTACAGAAGACTAATGCATCCAACTTTTTCTTTATTTTTAAAGAGGGTTTTATCTTTATAGATATGCTACCTTCATAGGGGCGATACTGAGGTGTTACAATCTAGATATTGCTAATTTCACAACGTTATACAATATTAGAGATAAAAAGGATAGTGATAAGACCGGATACCGGATATGCGGCGGGCATCTCCGCCGGACAGCCGGATATACGACAGACGGTTATCTGATTCACTGCCGTATACATGTCGCGACCGGCGTACAGCGCGCATCGCCGTGATTTATTGATTAGTAAATGATTGTGCTTTAACATTAACGATTTGATTTTTTGTGGTCACTTGGTTTTTATAAAAACGATTAATTTATTTGATAAAACAAACAAATACATAACAGAAAAAAATAGCAAAATTTGGCAATATTTTAATATTAGTGCTGTTGGTTTGTTGTGCCAAATTCAAGTTTCTCGCGGTGGAGAAGGAAAAAAAGCAATAAATGGTTTCTATTTCTATTTCAATTACAACAACCTTTGGCTGTATTAAAACTTCTAATTATTGTAATTATAAGCCTAGCATTTGATACACCATTATTATTTTGTTCCAATTTGATTTCATGAATTTGTTTGTGATCTAACTAATTCCAAGCCTTGATACCAGATTTACAAAAAAAAATTTACCTACTTACACGTTTTATTATCATCTTTAATCAATAAATCAATTTATTTCGCGTACTAATTATGATTTTTTCTCAGTTTTAAATTATCCGGTCGGATATAGTTCTACTATCCGGTATCCAGCCGGATGGTCAAAATAGGCCGGATAGTTACCGAATATCCGTTTCGAGATTAAACGGATATCCGGTAACTATATACAACATCCTGGCCAAGATGCTATTGCATGCGCCTACTGCACACAACGTTAAGTCCGGAATCTGTTGTCTTAACACCTCATTCCTAACACACTCAATCCAACTTATAAAATACTTTTTTACATCAAGTTAAAGAAGCGTTCTATAGCAAATGTACCACCCTCCTATAACGTGTGTACAAAGCGTTTACAAAGAGTTTTATGTCTAAGAACGTTCGCGTGACCTTTCGACTTTTTACCGAAACGTTCGCTTAGTATCCCAACAACCCTCCCGTAACTTTTTTGGGTCAATGAATGTTTTCCATTTCCAAAGTGAAAGTATAAAGTAGATTTACCCATATTTTCAATAGAAAGATTATGAGTAATATAAATAACTTAGGGCAAAGTTGTTTATGTCGAGGTATCGTACGAGAAATAAAGAAAAACATGTAATTTTGATAGGACAACGCTCACAAATCAGAAATAAATGACCGTGAGAGGTAAATTATAATATCATTTTGTAAGACAATATTACAAAAATGATTTTCTACATAAAATTACTAAGTGGGCATCCCGATATTGGCGAAATCAAAAGAGGAAAATATTTCCGCATTATATAGTAGAACAACCATTTTCTATTGAAATAAGCATTCTATGTAAAATGTTATTGGACGAATAAGCGAGTGCTTGTTTTGTTTTTAGCACATACTACTTCCTTGAAAATTATGTAGTAGATAGATACATATATGAAAGTTGTTTAATCCTATCGTATATATTTACTAATCAAACTCAAATAATTTCAGTAAACGCACACACTCAACATAGCCCCGCACTAGGGAAACCCTGTGTCGCAGGTGCTATGGACACACACATAGACAACCACAAATTACACCCAAACTCATGAGAGAAATAAATGTAGGCCATACAAATATTTCTCCCGGCCCGGGAATCGAACCTGAGACCTCTGCGTGGCAGTATGGTATGGTAACCGTTCGGCCACGGAGGCAGTTAACATATCAAAAATCGTGGTTTGTCAGTTTAGTTTCAAAATGATTGGTTCAAAAACTTGTTAATTTTCACATAAAATCATTTTATAGCTTTTCAAAATCCATAACCAAAGAAAAAAAACAATGAATTCCTCATGTTCAAAAGTTTTTGTGTGAAACATTATGTGAATAAACGTGATTTGCAAACTACGAAATGCCTTACGGGCCCACCTGGCACACTTCTCTTAAGATAATTGTTTAGATAGTAGACGACTTTTCTCTAAGGACAACATTATTGATATGTCACAATGCAAGAATGATGACTTACAAAACGGTATATATATTATTACAGCAGATTTTTGTTTTGGGTTTGTTTCACTTTTAAGTTTATTATAATACCAAAACAATTTTCTCAAGTCAACCGCATAGGCAATGAGTCGTGATATACTTACACTTCGCCTAGTGTAACATAATAGAGAAGATGTTATACAGCAACTGTTTTCAATCACGCACACGTAAAATTTTAAATATGAATTGAAGGTTGAAATATGCAGATAATATTTATATACGAAATAAAGTGAGGGCCATTGTTCTGTGTTCCATAAAACAGCACATAAAGGCAAAATAGAGAATAGTAAAAGATTTAATTTCTAAGTAATTACCTGTAGACGCTGCGTATGCATGATACGGCGTCCATTGACATAGACATAGGCGTCGGTGTGTAGTGGCGTGACGGTGTAGCCGCCGCCCTCCGCCGGAGCTATGACGCAGTGTCGTGGCTGGATCGACGGCCCGTATAGTTGAAGTGCCGTGCCGTTGCCAGATCCAACCTAAGTAAAATAAAGGCTAATAAACTCATGGCAACCAACGGGAGATCCATGAAAGTACGTGGTTTAATTAATATTTGATATCATCTGTAAAACACATACACTAATTGAATTAACTATATTCTGAGTAAAATTATACAATATGGTAGCAAACAAACATAAAATTCGACTATTAAAATATCGTAGCAAAAACTCGTATGATCGTAAGTAACGTGCGTACTGAAAATAACAGCTTTTTTTTTCAAAGGTTAAGTGATCCGTCAAATATTTTTTGTGTATATGTTCGTGTAGAAACAAAGCTGGTTCATTCAAGTGGATTATATGGAATATCATAAATTTTGGGAATACGGAGATGCGAGAGCTTTAAGGGATTTACGATATGCCTATGTGAATGAGGTTAGAAAGTACAGTCATTCCATTTTCTTTGAATTTACTTCATTTAATTTAACAGGCACATTTGTTGCAGTTTGCAGAGTGTATGTTTGAGTGGTATATATGTAGATCTTTCAAACAAAGTACTAGATAAATAAATAAAAAGTAAAATGGAGAATTATTATAATATAGAGAAAACTGTACTGAAAATTCCCCACAAAGAAACTTAAAACGTTATACCCAGCTCAATTTCCAACATACCTCCCTACTCATTACACGGTCTGTTTAAACTCGGAAACTAAAAAGACGAAATTAATGTTCTCAATTTTAGCGACGGAATTGTTCAATGTGTAGGAACTTTCAGCTAGTTTTCAAGTTCTCGCCAGACGCGCTTTATACTTTTATACTTGTGTACACAAAATTATAAAGTATGAAGTTTAAGAGTGTAGCAATAACATACGTTAAGGAAAGGAAACCCATCTTGGCTTCCATACATTTCTTGTGATCAATCAAATAAATTACATACGTCACTTCTTTTACGCGTCACTCGAGATTAATCGTATTTGCCCGCGTGATGGTACTCAATCTTTATACTGCCTGCACGACGTAGAGAGAGTTGGTAAATGTTTACGTATTTTCCAGTCTTTTTAATGATTTTTTTATTAGAGTTCTTACGAGAAAAAGTACTGAACATTTCTATAGGCAAGTACTTATTTTTTCAGCACTGTTGATATTAGAATGATCCTCACCTAATAAGTGTAAAGTCACCAAAATTTATTAGGATATTACACTGGTGAATAATTCACCAAGGTACACTCGTAAATCCACCTTATATTACTTTTGGGACGACCGTTACGCGCGAATTATAAGGTAATATGAGTATTTAGTACTGCTAGCACTGTTACATACATTACTAATAACTCTCTATAGTCGTACCATCACAATAACTCGCTAAGCAACTATATTTGTGTTAGGTTAGTAGACCTAGTGGATGTGGAGCTCAGGCATGAATTATATACATAATGCCAAGAATTCAGCTACACCCTAAATAAGTTAGTCAGTTCCGTCATTATCTACACATTCTAATTCCTCGTGAATTAATTGACGCATCGTAAATATCGCAGCATTTCATTATTCAATAGTTCACTACAACTGTATTCAGAATGTGCTAAATTTTATTATGAATAAGCCATAAAGCTAAAACGTCACAATTTTAGGCCATTCGCCAACCTTGCGTGTCAGGTAAGCCTTAGTTATTTCTCTATACCTTTTCCTGAAGAATTTGGTGTTTTTAACATAGACCGCTGTTCTAAAAAAACCATCGATATGTCTCGTTTGGCTAAGCTGGATGTTATGTTACCTCGATAACGTCGATGATGCGAACGCGGCGACCGTTCTCGAGCGGCGACCCGTCGGGCGCTACTTCGAGCAGCGCGGGCTCGGTGCCAGGCCGACCGTTGCCTGTGTTCGCGCCCGTGCCCGTTTTTTTCTTGCGCCGCCGCGGCTGTGAGTCTACCGGTCGCCGCCGCACGTGGAACATGATGGAGCCTGCACCAAAACAAAATATACATTGCCAGCGTGTCTACGGGTATATTATAGCATATAAAACTGTTTCAATGGGTATTAACGCAGAATATGATATATTATTCCAAGAAGCTAAAAACACTGAAAACCAATAAAATTATGTCATCTTGTCACGTTCTTTAGGTAACTTGTCTCAGATAAACGCGACAGGTATATACAAGTACCAGAAAAAGGAATTGAAGAGAAATTTGATTATTTGACGAAACATTATTAGTACCTATCACGCAACCTTATTACTTTTTGTTTTAGGGAAATATAAAAATCATATTTCAGGTGAAAGCTTAATCGAGCGCGAGAAAAATCCTTTGCGAGTATGTACTAAATGATTATATACGATACGAAAATAAATGTAATGGAGGTTGCACCATTTGTAAACCATGGTATCCGCAACTCGTACATACATATGTGTAACAGCTTATATAGTTGCTTCTAATCACTTAGTTCGCCACATGTTCCTGAAGATCATATCATATCCGTTACATCGATGAATTTAAATATTCTGAAAAGACTGGCTTTGATATAAAGCCGAAAATTAGAATTGTGAGGCCTACATCTTTGTTGTTGTCTGCACTTGCGAAAAATATTACTTGAATGTGCAATATCCAATACGTCCTGTAATGATATGAGAATGAGATATAAAACCCTTCGAAAATATTCAGTACAGTAAAGCTATTTCATATGTATATAAATCACGCCATGACCGACACGAGGACTTTTGATTTGCAAACTACGTGTAGGTGTGGTAGAACTTTATGTATAATTTACATTCGAGGTGCTAGGTATATAGTATTGGTTCACAAGTTACATAATATTTTATATATTTTATTTGTATAGGTTATACTAGACACAGAGTCCTCTCTCCACATTCCCCGCAATCTGTACGTATGCTTGTTTCTGTATCTGTCTCTCTACTTCTCTACATTTCTCTTTCTAACTCTCTTTTTCTGTACCCCTCTCTTTTACTTCGTCAGTCATTCATAATTCATCCTCCATTTTTACTGCATGCATTTTTTACTTTTTTGATTTTGATTTGCATTTCATTTCGATTTACGCCTTACTTTAAATTGTCTATTGTATATATTTTTTTTTAATCTGCTTGACGAAGCGACCTTGGTCCTTGTTATTTATTCGGCTTCACTAAAAACCAGCGTAACGAGGTGTTTTTACACGTCTTGTTGCAAAAAGCTGAGTAGAGACCATTTTGGTATATTTTAAATGTAATTCTTTTATTTTGTCTTTTATCGTAAAGTTATTTTATTTTTTGTTATCATTCCGGCTTATATATTTTTGTCATAAGGCTACCAAATAAACTTCTTTTCTTTCTTTCTTTCTAATTCTCTTTCCCTCTCTTTAAAGCGGGAACTATTTAATAAAATCTTTAGCATCTTAAAGGCCTCCAGAATAATTCAGTAAATTACATTCATTAACTGATGCTAATACATTTATAAATATCGAAAACATTTAATACTTTGTTTTTAAAATAGTGTGACTACGTCTATGCATAATTTTAGAGTAGTACTTATAATACACGTGACACATAACAAAACTATAAGGGACAATCGATACAATAGGAGCGTTGTATCGTTATTAAAGAAAACAGGCGAACTAGTCCTGTGTATTTTGGTTTAAACATTTTTTCAAAGAGTTTTGTGAATTTTTTTCCACGTGGAGTTTTTCTTCACTACGAATTTATGCATCAGTTACTTGTAACTATAATACTTACCTCATACCCATGCTTACATGTCATACGTACTGCATAATTGACGAACTTGGCGGCCCAATGGTTAGCACTGTGGGTACTACGTGAGGTGGTCGCGAGTCGATTTACAGTCACTATTTAGTATATGTAGTAATGTAAATTGGTTCTGGTATTCAGACCAGAATGCTTTAATTTCGTTGGGGTGGTACTCATAGTAAAGGGAATTCCCTAGTTTGGTTGTATTTTAGCCTGGTTGTTATTATTAAAATCACTGCTATTTGACAAAATTATATACTAAGTATCGGGACATTTCTAGTACGAAATTTTAACCTCGAAGGCGACATAAGGTGTAACGCGATTTGGGAGCTTTGGAAGCGTTCCATTTAGTGGTTTGTATGGAGTCTTAAGTGAGCTTAGGGTTGCTAAACCGACTTTTACATCGCCTACAAATAAAACACCCCCGACAAAGGTTAACATTCACAAAGCAAACAATACATCTATATAGTAAGTTTCCCTTAATATTCTTGTATTGTTCAGCCTATCGAAATCTTCCATTTAGCTCATGAGCTCGGCCTTCACCTTTCCATTGTAATAAGCAGTTTTATTTCGAATCGTCCTTTTGTGAATACAAAAAAGGCAAAGGAACTTCGGGGCTTATCCCAAATATCGTTCGCTTATCTAAAATATTATTTCCTATTAGTTAGGCAACCCTATATATGGGAGGAGAGAGGAAAGGGAGGGGCGGTGTCACAAGTGAGACAAGCGCTCCTCTAGTGTCAACATCATTAGTGTGTACTGGGTTGGCGCTCTACGAGTTACGTGAACTGCTACGGGCAGCAAAATCTACGAAATATCGTAGCACCGGATGCGACTGTAGCTGAAACACTAATTTACTTTGGACTGTACAAAACGCCAATTTACCAATTTAGTCTCGAAATATTTACGTACAAACCTTTTAGTGCTATTAATGGCTTTTTTGACAATTAGGTCTTTACTTTCAAAAGCAGAAATGGTTTATAAATTAAAATTGAAATCCTTAAGAAATTAACTATAACACTATACATATAACGGGTTGGCAAAAATCTGTTGTTTTTGCCACTAGCTAACTTTAAGTTAAAAAAACTGTTCGCTGTTAAAATGTCATAATATTGTCAATAGTTATTAAAAAAAAATTTTAGCGCGCATTTTGTTTATAAAATTCTTTGAATGGATAGAATTTTGACGAAAAAACTATTATAAGTAAAGACAGGGGAATTGTAAAATTACACGAACGATGAGAAACAGATTGTAGATCAATATGGCGAATACATTATAATTGATAAAACTTTAATATATATTTTTGAAAGGTTTTTCATTTATACTTTGATACCGCACGGCCTTTTTGTCCAAACCTATATTACAAGTTTTACTATTAATCCATTATATTAAAGTCTAATGGTTATGAAATAAAATTATCAGTTGAATTAGGCTATACAAATTGATATACCATGTTTAAATATGTATATTCAATCAATGTGGCTTAATCGATTAAACACACGGCAACGTGATACTTATCAATAATATTTATGCTTAATTGACAACATAATCTCTATTTTTTATGTGTAAACGTACCTCAATCACTGAAGTTAGATCTTTTGGATCGGGGCAAATTCACACAAAACTTGGCAACTGTGCAGTTTAAGGAGCAAGCCATAAAACTTCGGATCGGCTAAAATAGTATTATTTCAATGCAAAAACAAAGCGAACCAAATGAACGGTGGCACCTGCACTGAGTTGAGAGGCAAAATCAATAAGCACTATGCAGTGGGACATAAAGTATTGATAAGCCTTTGTCATGGCGCGGTGCGATTACTTCAATATTGGCCCTCCACGTCACTCAAGACGTCGGACTGCTGGCCGCCGAATGGTCGACACACTCACACTCCGCACGAAACAACAACGTCAACTGTTTACACAATTTACTGGACAATATCAGGCCTTAATCATGCAACCATACAATAACCACTTTATGCTAGATATCGTCTGTTTAAAGGTAAAACCATTTTGTGGAAAATGTCACTTATGTGGTTTTCTTTTAAGCAGACGTTATATGAGAATCTCTTGCAGAAAAGATCTTTAAATTTCATGTATATTAACTTTAATACTATCCTACTTCATCAAAGCAACACTAGAGACAGGGTTTTACTTAATGGAGCTTTAAAGTTAATGGATGTTTGTGTAATTGCCCAATTAAAAATATTTAAACGCATTAAGGTCACACGAATATTTTAAATTTTATAACCAACATTCACAATCTTATATTAATAACAGTTTTATGGGTCAATTAAAGTTATGAACGTGCAAAACTTCATAGTTTACAGAAAAATGGTGGGAAGGGCTATAAATCAACAACCGAAGTGGAGGCAATTTTCGATAGAGCGCTACCTCACAATACATGTAGAACGTTTCAAATTCTTGTCAAACAGTAAATAACACAAAGTATCGTTAAAGATTCAATTGAGTTTGCAAGGTTGTAACACAAGTTATGACGTACACTACAACATCTTAAATCTTAATGGCAAATAATACTACTGCAAAAACAGCCCACGAAGGGTTAACGATAATTAAATTACCGAGTACAACTTCTTTTGATCCAGATCTTAGTCTTGAGCTAAAGGATCTGTTCAACCACATGTCGGCCTAACCGCGGCATTAACTTCGAAGCCATAGTCCGATGGCGAAGCAAGTATATACGTATACACAATGGATCGGTCTAATTGGAACTGGCACACCATCATGCGTCGAACACCACCAGCCCGAACACTCATAAGCAATGCATTACGTATTAAGGACTAGATATAAATCGCCTATCCATTCGCCGACGGGACATCGGCTTACAAGCTCGCGTTTTGTTTACGCGAGCTTCCAATGTTTTATTAATTTTATAATACTATCATGCATGTATAACGGTAACCGGTGTGCATAAAATAAAAAGGTATTTATTGGGCCATGAAGTTGATTCTACGTTTATTGCTATGCGTAGATGTGAGGTGCGGTTATAAATGTAACAATATAACAGACTAGTCCTTACCTGCATGATCATTTTACAGTGTAGAGCAACCGAAACAACTGTTAGCTCCAATAAAAAGAAGACATCGCCGCTCTTCTGGACAGGTATAACCCATGTTGAGACTCATTATTTATTACTAAACAGTAGATAAAAAGAACTACGCGTATTCTCTTTGTGTAGATACCAAATATAGTTCGTAAATTAGTTTCATTTTAG